ATTTTGAAAACAGCTAATCTATAAGCAAACCCGCGCTGTCCAAACTTACACTGCAGATTTTCAATCATACGACCAAACAAGGCAGATCGAGATTCTAGCTGTCGACTCGATACAATTCCCGCACCCGATAATTCACCACGATGATCTGTCCATCTTACAAAAATCTGTACCCTTTCCAACTCTGTTTTATAAATCCAATACACAACATGTGCAACTCGCACCGGTTCAACAATAAGCCTCTCACTAGCAGCCCGTCGAGCATCATCAAAAAATTCATCATAGCTCGTACACTCCCCGTCAGAATCACTATCTATCGTGCCATGATCTTGTCCTCGTATAGATAAAAATGCCTGTCTGCCTTCCCGCTTGTCATCAAGAATAACTGACGGTGCAGGAATAGCGCAAGGAACATTTGAGTGATCCATTGAAATGGGTCGACTTGAATTCGCATTGCGCAACGAAACTGGGGCTGGCAGCACCCATTGACATTGATTATATACATCATGACAGTCATTCGAAGTTACTAATGCGGAATATAAACGGTCCTGATGAAAAACAACAGGCTTAAACACGATCCGGGATCGAATAATGTCAACAGAAATACTGCACAGTTTAGAAACAAAACATGCTAAATAATCACATAGCTGCAAAGATAGTTGTACGAAATAGCTAATATGACCGGATTTTGCTGGCCATTTTCGTTGAGCGTGATAAAGCATATATGGCGGAATAAATATAAAAATACAAAGATGGGAGCAGTATTTTGAAAGAGTATTAGGCGATTGATAGCTTCCATCATACACCTTTGATACAGTATAAGGTGACGTGATGTCTACAATGAAATCTCGTGCACGCTTGCATACTATACCAATTGTTTGATTGCATAGTTTATAAAGCAGTTGTTGATACAGCGACATTTAAGTTAGAAAGTATTCAGAATTTTCAAAGTATAATCAGAATAAATACAACATACTTGATTTAGTGAAAGCCTTGGAAAACAGTTTGGTCACAGATGCACCATCACATACATCAAAATTATCTACAAGATTACAAAATCTGGTCAGCAGCCAGTGGTGCACTACATATGGCAATGTAACCCTAATCTCAAACTGACCTGGAATATTGACAGAACAGGTTGACAATTCAACAGACTCCATTAATGGTTTACAGTCACCAAACCGATGCACATCCCATTCGTTTTGAAACTCTGTCATCCACATACAAGCAGTCTGCTTCATCTGTATTGAAATGGTTTCAACAACTGAAGACTTTTCAATGTCCATAGTATCAGTCGTCATTTTATCTGATACACCACATACACCAAAATACGCTATCCGCTTACGACCAGCATAAGGCTCAAGACGCAGCTTGGTCCAAAATCGATAGCTGAATGGATTAGCAGAAATCAGTGCACCATCGTGTCTAAAAATAATATCTGGAGCAGCAAGAATATCTACTACGGGTTCCATGATTCGTTTCTTTTTACGCACTTGAAATCCGCCATATTTGGTAGTAGACAAATCTTTTTTTAAAAAACATCATAAACGCACTCACTATATAGTAAGAAAAAGTAGCATACAGAATCGTTCAATGAAACAAGGCAGACAAGAGTATACCTTGCAAATTATGATATTCTAGCAACGCCAATGGTCCAGATATATTCAACGTGGTAGAATCATCGCCACTATTCATACCAAGCAAAGAAACCAAAGTCATACGAATCGTATCAAACAGTTTGTTGGAACATGCAGTAGCCGGTAAACTCCAGGGAAGTGGACCGATAAGTGTACCAGTAGGAATATTCTGAAAGTCTGTACAGCATTCGCATTTTGATGAATGGTCACGATGCTCGCCACAATCAAAACACAATGCATTCAGATGAGATATATCGGGCACACAAAACTCATCTAGTCTGCCAAGTTTAGATTCTTGATGCCACATGATCTCACAATCAGACAACTCGAGACACGTATCAAACGGCATAAACGCTGTTGCATCAGAAAAGTTGCCAATAAGCCAACCCAAGTGCGGTGCTGTAAAAAGACTAGCTGTGTTTTTAAACAAATCTGTTTTGGTAAGCATTTTATCGCTCGCCATTAACTTGAGCAGCTGTGGTGACTTGGAAAATGTGTTTTCGTGCTCTGCCAATGTTCGCTGAACCAAGTTTCTCACATTCTTGGTACATTCATATCATAAAGTTGCTTTATGGTATCAG